CCACAGCCAGACTGGCCAGTCAAACCAGGGCACCGCATTCAGTGTGGACACTCAGTTAACAAGGGCTGCTCAGCAGAGCATGGAGCACAGGCCAAGGAAACAGATATATTTGTCAAGAAGTCTCAACCCCCAGACCCTACATATGGAAAAAACATGAAGGCGTGAGGCCGGAAGGAGGAGAATTTGAGTAATTGCTTTTAAATGTGTGAAAGGCTGCCAGAGTTTAAAAAAAAAAAAAAATTTTAAGAATTATGCTTGTGCTGTGAAGTCCTAAAGGGAGACCCAAATCCAATCATTACTAAGAACTCCAGTTTCCACTCCACAGCCAACCAGGACAGTCCACAGGATGCTCCAAGATGCTGCCTGCTCCCCCTGATAAAGGTGTGCAAGCAGGAGGCCCGCCAGAGGTTTAGGAAATGTGCGGACCTCATAAACCAAAATGGATGAATATTTCTTTCTTTCTCTTGTTTCTTTTTTTTTAATCCCCACACAGGATATCTATACTAATAAAAGACAAAGATGTTAATTGACCATACCTTTGCTACACCCATCAGCCAATCAGAAAAGTATGCAAATTAACCCAACAAAGATGGCCGCTAAATTTGCAGACTGCAGGTGGGGCAGGCAGCACCAGACGTCGCCCACAGGATCCAGGCCGCAGATCGGGGACCGGGAAGGTGGGGTGGGTAGTGCCAGATGCCACCCAGGGAGGCGGAGCCGGCGATTGCCCCAGCCAGAAGCCTGAGGCCGGGGCAGGGGCGGAGCCTGCCATCGCACAGGGCTGGGAGCCCCTGCCCAGGCCTAACACCCTGGCCAGAGGCCTGAGGCCTGGGCAGGGGCAGAGCAGGCCATCAGAGTGGGCTGGGGGTCCCCTGCTCAGGCCCAATGCCTTGCCAGAGGCCTGAGGCCTAGGAAGGGGTGGAGCCGGCAATTGCCCAGGGCTAGGGGTCCCCTGCCTAGACCTAACACCCCGCCAGAAGCCTGAGGCCTGGGCAGGGGCGGAGCCTGCCATCGCACAGGGCTGGGAGACCCTGCCCAGGCCTAACACCCTGGCCAGAGGCCTGAGGCCTGGGCAGGGGCAGAGCAGGCCATCAGAGTGGGCTGGGGGTCCCCTGCTCAGGCCCAATGCCTTGCCAGAGGCCTGAGGCCTAGGAAGGGGTGGAGCCGGCAATTGCCCAGGGCTAGGGGTCCCCTGCCTAGACCTAACACCCCGCCAGAAGCCTGAGGCCTGGGCAGGGGCAGAGCCTGCCATTGCACGGGGATGAGGGTCCCCTGCCCAGGCCTAATACCCCGGCCAAAGGCCTGAGGCCTAGGTAGTGATCAGAGTGGCCTGGGGGTCACCTGCCCAGGCCTAACACCCGGCCTAAGGCCTTAGGCCTGGGCAGGGGCCGAACCGGGGATCAGTGTGAACTACAGAGGAAACACTTTTACTGACTGCTCACTGGCTAAGCTCCCTGTATGCCACTGGTAATATTCTTAGTAATTTGGGTAATAAGAATCCAAGAATGTGATGTAGGGCCTTAGTGGCTGTAGTGACTGGCAGTGGCTGCAGCAGTGGGGTGATAGGGCTGGTGCCTTCCCCTGATCAGCCTGGTTGCCTCCCACAAAGGGAGGCCAGACTGCAGCTTAGGCCCGCTCCCCAAGGGGAGCAGGGAGCAAGCCTAAGCGGTCAGTAGGACATCCCCTAAGGGCTCCCAGTATGTGAGAGGGGGCAGGCTGGGCTGAGGGACCACCCCCCGCCCACGTGCATGAATTTGTGCACCGGGCCCCTAGTGTTTAGATGAAGGAAGGGGGTGAGAGAGAGAAATATCGAGGTAAGAGAAACGTCTATCAGTTGAGTCCCGTACCTGTTCCCAACCTGGGAATCAAACCCGCAACCTTTTGGTGTACGGGAAGATGCTTGAACCAACTGAGCCACTTGGCCAGGGCAAGGGGATGAATATTTCCAAGTGGGAACAGGCATTCTCTAAGAGAAGAAGGAATTTTTTAAAAGAGGGATGCAAATATGTCCTCTGAGAAAATCAGAAAGACCCAGCGGCAGTGTAATTCAGCTCTTCCTTGAGTGGAGGAGGCCAGGAGCAGCCATCTGAAAGAAACAAGGCAATGGCAAGAAACTATGACAGGCTGTAAGGCACTTAGACACACCACCGCTGTGATCTTCATCAGCAAGAGGTATGTTAATTACGCCTCAATGGGTCGGGGGCTGCACCAGCCCATCCCTCTGCAGCCTGAATGAAGACCCAGAGCTAATGTCTCCTGTGTGTACACAGTATGCTGGGCAGTGTCCGTAAGTACTTTATCTGAGTGATTTCAATGAAGCTTCTACAGCCCTAGGAAGTAGGGATTGATATTTCCCCCATTTGACAGAGAAGAAATAAGGAACAGAGCAATTAGGTGATATGCCCAGATTGTACAGCTAGTTAGTGGGGGAGCTGGGACTGGAGTCCAGGTAGCTTGACATCTGGCCCCCTCCTAGATCATCTCTAGCTGTATCATAAGATCTTACAAAATCCCAGTAAAATGTTCCAAATTAACTTAATTTCTTCTCATTTATAAAGGAAATATTTACCATGACACACCTGGTAGAAACCTAATGGTCCTAGATAAGAGTCAAGAGCATCATTGTCAAATGTTAGTGTGCATAGGGAATACTTGGGTGCCTGCTAAATTACAGATTCCCAAGCCCCACTCCAGACCTACTGCATAGAACACCACGGCGTGCGATCCAGGAGTCTGCATTTTTGACAAATATCTTGAGCAATTCCAATGCAGGTGACCTATGCACCATACTTTGAGAAACCTCGTCTAAATAATGCAATAAAAACCAATAGAAGAAAACAACAATCTGATTTAAAAATGGGCCAATAATCTGAATGAACATTTTTCCAAAGAAGATACACAGATGGCCAACAGGTACATGAAAAGGTGCTCAACGTCATTAATCATCAGTGAAACGTGAATCAAAACCACAAGGAGCTGTCACCTCACACCTGTTAGGATGGCTATTATCAAAAAGACAAGAAATGAGTGTTGGCGAGGATGTGGAGAAAAGGGAACTCTTGTGCAATGGGGTGGGGGGAGGGGACATAAATTGGCTCAGCCACTATGTAAAATAGTATGGAGGTTCCTCAAAAAAATTCAAAATAGAACTACCATAAAATCCAGCAATTCCACTTCTGGGTATTATCTGAAGAAAACAGAAACACAAATTTAAAAAGATATATGCACCCCCACGTACACTGCAGCATTATTTACAATAGCAAAGAAATGGAAGCAACATAAGTGTCCACTGATGGATGAATAGATAAAGAAGATGTGACACATACATACAGTGGAATAGTATTCAGCCATAAAAAGAATGAAAGTTTGCCATTAGCAACAACATGAATGGACCTTAAGGGCATTATGCTAAGAGATATAAGACAAAGACAAAACCATATGATCTCACTTATATTCCTTATATAAAACCAAAAAACAGGTTGGTTGTTGCCAGAGGCATGGGGGGTGGGAAAATGAGTTAAGGGGGGTCTAAAGATACAAACTTTCAGGTATAAAATAAATGTCAAGAGATGTAATGTACCCCGGGGTGACTATAGTTAATAATACTGTATTGCACATTTGAAAGTTGCCAAAAGAGTAAATCTTAAACGTTTTCAGGCCAAGAAAAAAATTGTGTAAACATGTCTGGTGACAGTTGTTGCAATACATAGAAATCACATCATTATGTTGTACACCTGAAACTAATATAAAGTTATATGCTAATTATACCTCAATAAAAAGTTTTAAACAATAAAAAGTAATACATGCTTGTATTTATATAGTACCTTTCTTTTAAAATGTTCCAGACAGGCTCCAGGTACTTATTAATTCTCCCCAAGACCAATATGATCAATGAAAATCATATCGTCCCCTCTGAAGCCCATTTGACTGAGAAGGAAAGTGACCCCAGGAGAGGGCCCTGTCCTGTAGTAACAGAGAAGGATATGGCAGGGCCTGGAAATCAGGTGGTATCTGGTGATTTCCCCACCCAGTGTTCTTTTCCCTAAATTGTTCCCAGAAAATAGAGACGAAATCACTTATTTCTATTCCTTAGCTTCCGCTCCTATGTCTCTTACTTGCAATCATTAAACATTTCTCCATCGGCCCCAAATGCAATATCTAGGGGCGGCTCTAAAGTCTGCATCGCAAAGGCAATGCAACAAATCTCCTGGATGAAGTTACTGAGGAGGCAAAAATCAACTTCCGGAGGGAATGAAATCTTGGGATTGACATTCATGGCTCGAATCACGTCCTGAAAAACAAAAAGATGGCATCCCCTTGTTACCATCCTGTGGCCAGAAACTCTGACAACCCCAAGGACATTATGACCGATGGAGTTGGGGAAAGAAGGTGTTAGTGAAAGCAAGTTAAAAACGAGAGGAGTGCATGTGCTAAAAGGAGGAAGCATTATGAATCAGAAGCCGGGAAGATGGCAGAATACGAATGACATATTAACAGCCAGAAGAGTCTCAAAAAAACTAAAGAAAAACCCCTTAGTAGCTTTTATTTATTCTTTCCCCTTTTTAAATTCTGGGCAAGTTATATGATAATGCCCACACAGAACTCTGACTTGTTCATAATGTATAGTAATAACAATTATAATAGCTTGCGTTTATTGAGAGTTCACTATATGCCAGGTCTTGTACTAAGCAAATGACCTGCTTTCTTTCATTTAAGCCCCTCAAGAACTCGACGGGGTCGTGACTATTGCTGTTCCCATTTAAAGATTAGAAAACTAAAGAACAGAGAGGTTAAGTAAATGTGCAAGGTCACACAGCTAATAAGTGGCAGAGCCAGATGCAAATCCACACCTATCTTTCCCAAAATCTTAGGAACAATGATGTTCTATCTCCGATTTTAAGGGCCCAACTAAAGAAGTAATTTTCGTCTTTTTTCATCTCATGACACACAAACTAATTACTAAAATTCTGCGGCACACCAAAACAAATTTATTTTTTGCCGATCTGACAAAAAAAAATATAGGTATGCCCTGATCGGTTTGGCTCAGTGGATAGAGCGTCGGCCTGTGGACTCAAGGGTCCCGGGTTCGATTCTGGTCAGGGGCATGTGCCTTGATTGAGGGTACATCCCCATCGGGGGTGTGCAGGAGGCAGCTGATTGATGTTCTCTCTCATCAATGTTTCTGACTATCCCTCTCCCTTTCCTCTCTGCAAAAAATCAATAAAATATATTTTAAAAACATATAGGTATAATTTTGATTCATTCACAGTGGACAGCTATTGTTGTGTTGACTACTGTCATCTTTTTTACTTGACAATCTAAGGGAAGAGAGGTCAGTGCCCCTAACTAGTCAGGTATTTCATGTTTTAAAAATCCGTGCAGCAATCAATGTGTCGCGGCACACTGGGTGGAAATCACTGATTTAAAGACTAGAACTAGCAAGCTCAAAATATTTCCTTCATACAATGTCTAAGAAAGAAAGAGCCATTATTGGCTGGTTCTACAAAGTAACTTGCCATTACCTAAAGAAGCACTGAATGGGTTCCTGAGTTATTGAAATTCCATGTAAATATCATTAGCAGCAAACTAGCCCCAAGAAGAGACCCAACACTTACGTTGACACTGTTTTGGGAATCGTATAGATCAAGGTGACAAATTATATAATCCGTGACGGCATCCTCAAAGTCATTTGCCCCCATATAAGATGGTGTCAAAGATTTCCTTACTCGGATTTTGAAATGTCTGAACGCCATTTTAGCTACATGGAATGCCTCCTGCACACAAAAATTGCAGCAAATTTATTTGGTGAGACGAGAGGAGCGAAGAAGTTCAAAGCAAGGAATGAAGAAGTTCATCAAAAATTAAACATCAAATGGGTTTTCTGACAGCTAAACACAAATGGTCAAAACTATTTTTAATCTGGGAGAAAATATATCTCTCAATTTTGAAAAGGACATAAATACAAATAAGACCATTCACGTCCACTCATTTTAAGACAGCGGACCATTGTTTTGGTGATACGGAGTGCAGGACGGTACAGAAGTTCAAGGAAATAAATCACCTGTGGTTACATAAATACTTGGAAGATGCTAGCTGATGCTATCTGTGATCCCACAGTAACACCATATCACTTGTCCAGAAATAAGAGAAAAATTATCAATTGAGTGTTTACTATACATAGACACATAGCAGGTGTTGGGCATGTTTCTTGACATATATTAATTCAACAAACACTTATTAAATGCCTGTTATGTAGTCAGCACTGAGAAAACATAGTTATACATATAAGACATGGCCACTATGCGCACAGAACTTTAACCAACCCCGCAAGAGATTCTCAAACCAGGCACTGGCAAACTTGTTTCTGGAAAGAGCCAGATACGTATTTTAGGCTTTGCTGGTCACATACTGTGTCTGTCGCATTTTTTTTTAACAACCCTTTAAAAATGTAAAACTATTCTTATAGTCTTAGCTCTTGGGGGGTATTTTTCTTAGAACTTTAGGTCACTGTCAGATATGGCCCGCAGGTCCTAGTTAGCGGACTCGTGACATCAATTCATAAATACAGGATAAAGGTCAGTAGATTCTGATCATTCTGCTCTCATGCCAATGTCCTGTTTTATTTAATATTTAATTGTTCTCATGTTGAATTCAGTATCTCAATATGGTACCAAAGGAACAACCCTTAATTGCTTTGGGAACTAAGGATGACAGATGAGCACTTTGTAATCTGCCATATTCAACTAGCTATGTTCCCAGTGTGGGTAACTACTCTTCTGATCTTTCTAAGAACAGAAGGAAGTCAATCAAATCATAGCCATTAGCGGTCATATATACACTGGTATATCCATGCCCATTTTGAAGATTCCCTGCACATCGACTAAGGTATATAACCATTCTAGATTATCCTATAATTATAAACCCTTCAACAAATGTCTGGTCAATATCAATATATTAATGCATATGAATAGTTACTGATTGTGAAAAAATGATTCATCCCAAATACTTGCAATGGAAGCAGGGAAGGAAGGAAAAAGGAAGGAAAGGAAGGAAGGAAGGAAGGAAGGGAATGGGAGGGGAAAATAAAAGATGAAATAGAACAGAAGGGAAGAAGAGCAGAGAAGGAAGGAATAAAAGGATGGGGCCATTTTCAAAGGACATAGAGGACAGCCTAAAAGGGCTTTCAATAAAAAAAAGGAAAAGAAGGAAAGAGGGAGGGAAAAAAGGGAGGCGGGAACGCATGGAAATCCCACCCTCTTGCGGGGACCTCAGGATCTAAGTCCTTTTCGGCTGTGCTGTTCAGTTTACCGAACCGCTGTCCCCCGCGCGCCCAGGGGTCCCCCGCACCCACCACGGTGGCGATGTAGATGATGCGCTGCACGGTCTCGGCGTTGTCGATGCATTGCCGCAGCAGGCACTGC